CTCAGCCTCCTATGTAACTGGGACTACAGGTGCATGCCACCACAACTGGCCATTTTTTTTTTTTTTGTAGAGATGGGATTTTGCCATGTTTCCCAGGCTGGTCTCGAACTTCTGGACTCGAACAGTCCTCCTGCCTTGGCCTCCCAAAGTGCTGGGACTATAGGCATGAGCTACCACGTCCAGCCAGTAGTCAGTACTTTAATCTGTCTGGTGAGGTGACGCTGGAAGTGAGAGGGTTGCTAGTGGGGAGGTTGTCTCCTGCCCCAGCCTCATCGCTGTTGTCTCCCGCCCCAAGCGCATTGAGAAGCAGAGCCCAGTACCGTTCCTTGGGGGCATGGTGTGGCTGGCAGCCATGGGTGTGGCTGGAGAGCTCCTTCCTCTGTTTGGGGCTGTGGTTTTAGTGGTATTAGTGCTCTGGGTAACTGTGCGCTTTTCTGTTCTCTGTCCTGTATATAGAATGCTCTCCCTGGGGGTGGAGGAAGGAGGAATTCGGGGGTCTTGTCCCATGAGCATGTTTGAGCATTATTTGTTCACTGTACAACTTTTGCCATTTGACCCACAGTGCTGAGAGCTGTAGGCTTGAGGGCGTCTCCCTCTCTCCTGAGTGTGGAATGTGCGTGGGTTGCCTCCTCTTGCAGGTCCCCCTCCAGGCGAGTGCAGAGGCAGTGTGAAGGTGCTCTGTGTGACCAGGTGGGACGTGTGGCCACCCAGGGCTGAGGTCGGAGCGCAGGCCCTGCCTTGCCTCCTGAGTACAGGGCTTTTGAGTTTCTTGAAGCTATGTTGACAGAAAAGTAGGCACTTGGGCGATTTTGTTGACTGCAGTGTTTAGCAAGTGGAGACTGACTAGAGAGTGCTAGCACGTCAGGGAAAAGGAGTCTTGACAGGTGGAGGAACCTCCCTCGGTGGGAAGTCAGTTTCCCTTTGTACCAAGGCGTGTGGACCAGTTCTGCATTGCATTTGGCTCTGGTGTCGTAAGTGACTTAGTCTCTTCCTGCTCTTCTCAGACCTGGCTCTGGGCAGGAGGTGTGTGCTGGCAACCCTGTCTGAGGGCCCACTGGCCCCGAACTTCTCGGAGCGGCCATGGAAAAGCTGAGTCTCTGCTTCTTTTTTTTTTTTTTTTTTTTTTTGAGATGGAGTCTCACTCTTTTTGCCCATGCTGGAGTGCAATGGTGAGATCTCGGCTCACTGCAACCTCTGCCTCCTGGGTTCAAGCAATTATCCTGCCTCAGCCTCTTGAGCATCTGGGATTATAGGCACCCGCCACCACGCCCGGCTCATTTTTTTACTTTTAGTAGAGACGAGGTTTCCTCATGTTGACCAGGCTCTGTGCTCTTCTTAATCCAGGTTATTTCCCTGACACTGGGGTCCTGTGGTGGCTTGACCAGACACTGACTCCACCTCCCAGTGAGGGAGCCCAGGCCTCTGCCGCAGGGCTGTGCGTGGAGAGGCTCTGTGTTGGGAGAAGAAGCTGCTCCTGGGCTTACTGTGGAGATTTCGGCTTTCTGTTCTGTGCTGACCCTGTTACTACTTCAGGCTCCAGCGGGGACCCAAAGATGTATCTTACAATGACTGTTAAACTAAAATTTAATTTACTTTAAGTTATGCAGGTAATGTACGAATACATGCTTCCTAGCATGTCGAGTGGGTGTGGTTACTGTGGATTTGCCAGCATACCTGCTTACACGGGTGGGTTTCGTTTTTCTTTCTAATGTTTTCAACCTGAAATGGGCCGTGGGCATGGGCTCTCCGTGGCAGAGTTGCCTGGGGACTAGCAGGGGATTGTAGCCGGGCTGCGTGTGTAGGTCACACTGTATGTGCAGCCGGGGCTTGGTGCAAAGGAGAAATTTTTAAAGGCAAAAAGGAGACATTCACGTAAGCTGTCTAGAAACAAAGAACTCTGGGGACAGGGCTTGTTGCGGGGTTGGAGTCTCCCTTTGGGGAGACGGTGGTGGAGGGGCAAGCACCCCCGATCTGGAGTGCTGTGGTTTGGAGAGACCCTGTGTTGTTCTGTCCTAGGCCCCCCTTCACGGCCACGCGGATTAACCTGCTCAGGTCAGCACACACTGCCGGCCTCCTCCCTTCCCATTGCTCCTCTGCCCCACGCAGCAGCTGTGGGGTTTGCTACGGTAGCTTCTGTTTACAGGAGCACCTGGGTGGCATCTGGTGATGTTCGCTGTTGTCGCAGTGCTGTCCCAGAAGGCCTGGTACTCGTCCCTCTGCTCACTGCAGCTGTTCCTGCCTGCATCCTGTGCACATGCCTGCTGCTCTTGGTTCAGTAGCTGGCCCAGGTGCTGGTCAGCCGAGTCCTGGCGTGACGGAAGTCAGGCGTCCCAGACTCCACTGTGGCTTTTGAGAGACTCCTGGGGCTGGAGTACAGTGGGTGCCCTCTGGCTGCCACGCTGTCTTCCAGGTGGGACTATGGATATGGTTTGGGAAGCTCCTTATCTTATGACCACACTGAACATTAAAACAAAGAGATTCAAAACTGAGTTATTTCGTGGCTGTGGCAGATCTCTTCCTGCTGTGCTTCACCGGACGGATCTGTGTTTTCGGGCCTGGGGGCCTGGGCTTCTCACCAGGTGTCTTTTTAAATAATCACCAAAGGCCTTTTAGGTAGTTTTACTCCCTTGGAAGAAAAAATTGCATAAGTCATTACATAGAGTTACTTGAAACAACTGTCCACACTGTGCACACATTTGAGACGATGGGGAAATAAAGTGCATGCAGGAAGTTTAGATGTGCTTCGAAGGTTTAACTTTTCATCCTGGCTTTCCTCCACGAGAGGATGGCACAGGCGTAGAGGGCTGGCCCCTGAGTGCCTGCTTTCTCCGCTGGAGAAAATGGAACCATTTCCTGCAGTTGGTCCTCATTATCAAAATCAGCCTGTGGAGTTTTCAGAGTTCCCATTTATGGAGGAACAGAGTGGAGCTGCACTTGCTGCTCTGCTGTTTCGTCTTTTGCTGTTTCAGGAGGAGGTAGGAGGGGTTGCAACATGGAGCTCTGAAATGGACTGTAAAAGGCGCTAGGGGAATCTGGGGAGAGGCACCTGGCGTTCAGGACAGCGTGGCCCCTGCAGAATCCTCATCTGCATTTTGCTTTTAGTGAGATGGTATTTTCCCAGGGAAGCAGAGCTTGCTACATCGTTCGCTGACTTTCTCTGAGCGGGGCTCATTTATAGAACGGCAGGCGCCTCTGACCAGAGTCTTTGCGCTCCTTGGAGCCACTTTACCATAGCTGGTTACAGAGGAGCTGCATGGGCCAAGTGGGCACTACCTAGGAGGTGGTTGGACTAAGAGCTGTGCCCGCCGGGCTGGGCGGTTGGATCCTCTGAGGGTTGGGGGCTCCCTCTGGCCTGGCCCCCACTGCCTTCCTGTACCCCCATCCCCACCCACAGGCCCTTAACTGGATCCAGGTCTCCACTGGATCTCACAGCTGGGACAGCACTTCCTCGGATGGGTTTGGGAAGCTGCTGGGAGAGGCATGGGTGGGGATTGGCTTTGGTGGTCACACAGCTCTGGTGTTAGGGTGGCGCCTCTTGGATTTGGTTTCTCCTCTGTCGACAACTTTTTCTTTGTTGCTGTTTTTGTTTTGTTGGGATTCAGAGCAGAACAGGAAGTGGCTGGGCAGTCTCTGTCCAGGGTGCCCAGTGTTTGATGTCACAGGCCTCTGTGCTGTTTGCTTGGGCCATAGGTCCCATGAGCACGGCCTGTGCTGTGTGCTTGAGGAAGTCAGGATTCCAGGACATGTGGGGATTCGTTTGCCTGACCTTATGGCATCAGAAGCCACAAGAGAGGGAAGTAGAGCCAAGGCAAGCAGCCGGGCCCAGGACGTGGGCCACATGGGGGTGACGACGGGAGGTGGGACAAGGCCTTGTGGGAAGGCTGATTTCTCCAGAGGTCTGGGTTATCCTGGAAGTTCCATGGGGAGGGGAGGTATCTGCTGCAGTGGAGAGTCCTGTTGCCATGCAGGAGGCTGTCATGAGCCAGGCGGGGATAGGATGTGGGGCTGGAGGCCAGGGCTGTGGGCCTCAGGGAAGCCAGGCAGGTGGCTCAGTGTACGCAGTGCATGGAGCTCACACCCTGACCTCTGAGTGGGTAGGGGTGGCCCTGTCAGAATGGGCTTGGGGTCTGGCTGGGTGGTCACGGTGGGTGAAGGCAGATGGCAGTGTGTGTGAAATGGCCATGAGAGACAAGTGGCTGTGGACGTCCCAGTGCTGCTGTGGTGCCAGGGCTTCCTCCTGCTGAGGTGCAGGGGCCGAGTGCCCTGGGGCTGCTGGGTCCTGAGGTGTCCATGTGGCTTGGGGTGGGGCTGCAGAGGCAGCACAGATGCCAGTTGGGCGGAGGCGGGGCTGGGCAGGGGCAGTGGGCCTAGGGAGGAGGCTGCTGGCTCTGTGGGCAGCCCTGGATGCTGGGGAGGCAGCTGTGGCCTCATAAAGGGCAAAGACTGTTCTCAGTCCCTGAGCTGGCCTTGCCTCCCCCAGGTGGGCTCTCAGTGTGACCGGGCCCACATGGAGAATCCTCAGCAGGACCTGGGCGAGCAGCTTGTGCTGAGTGGGTGTTCACGAGGCTGAGAGCCCGGTAGCAGCATCTGCTCAGGAGCTTCACAGTTAACAAGACAGCCTGAGTCAGGGAGCTGCAAGACTGGGGCAACCTCAGACCCCATCTCTTCCGGGCAGGGAGGATGCAGAGATGACAAGTGAGGAGAAGTGCATTAGGGAGCTCCAAGCGCCCATACTGAAACCTCCTGACCCAGAAAGAGCAAGGGCGCACACCTCGAGGAAGAGGTCGGCTGTGCCCTCCTCTCCTGGGTGCCGGGGCACACCATGGCTCTAGATAGCACCCTTGCTGCTGTTGTGCCTGAGCAGTAACCACTGGCCGCCCAATTACAGACAAGGTGTTAAAGCCTGTGGAGGCCTGACTGTGGGGGGCGGGGGGTGCGGGGGCCCATCACCCTCGCACAGGCTGACAGCCCCTCTCCTGCTCCCCTGTTCTTCCTCCCAGGCCCGCCGGCACCAGCACCTCGAGGTCTCACTGCCCTACAGGACTCGCCTGTGGGACCAGGGGTAAGTCCAGGCCCCCCACGGCCACCCTCAGAATCCTGAGTCAATTACTTGCAAGTTTGGGGCACAAGAAAACCCCCTGTTCCCCCTTAGGCACAGCTGCTCCCTGTGTGCTTCTGTGTGGCTGGGAAGGGCCTGTTGGCCGCAGTGGGGGTGTCCCCTCCCACCCTGTCTGTGCAGCCTATCTCTGATTTGCTGACTCCCAGTTTGGGCTTTTAGGGGGGCTGCTGCCTGTGACCCCTACGTTGCTGTCTAGGGCATGTTTCCACTTCTCCCTGGCAGTTACATCTTATGGTGGCGACTCTTTCACCACTGGACAGCCTTTGCTTTTTCTGAGAGATGCTGAGGTGTGGTCCTCACTCTCTCTGCTCTCCCAGACTCACTCTACAAGGAATGGTGCCTGGCAGCTATTGGTATCCAGGGCACCCACCAGGCACCCCGGCCCTGTAGGCCAAGCAGCCAATGCTGATGGAGACAGTGCCACCGCCAAGAGCCATTAGCTGCTTGCAGTTGTGTGTCCAATGGCACAGATCCCCATGGCGCTGGAACTTCCAGGGTGGGAGGAGTGGCTCCTTCCCACTGAGCTGTTGCCTGCTGAGCTGAGCTCCTACGTGGCTGCCACTCTGGAGTCCCGAGTCATACGTGGCTCCAGGCTGGCCCTTGGCTGTGTGATTTTGAGTGAGGTCAGATGTAACTTGTTCCTGCTGATGACTGTCTGCCAGCATCACCCTGGAAATTGACTTTCTAGCAAAGTTGACCAATTCAGCATCCAAGGCTGTCTCCAGGAAGCAGCTTCAGTGTGTCATCTGCAGTGGGACACTGGATCATGAGTGAAGAATACTGGGTTCACCTAAAGGCACAAGTCTGTGGTTGGCCTCCCGGCTGCCCTGCTGGCCCAACCTGACATTTTCTCTGGTGTAGTTTCCATATGACCCTGAGTTGTCTCAACACCTTGTGGGTCTGAGGGAAGCTGGATAGGCCCCAAAGATCTCCTCTGCTCCCAGAAGATGTTGCCAGGGTGCCCTGGGGATGCTTCATGCACCCCCCGCCATCGGTCCTCAGTGCCTCTTCATACGTTGCATACGTTGGGGCCTCTCTGCCTGCACTTGGCGTGTGCTAGCCATCATTGCTGACCGTGAGCGTCCCACGTGCTGGCTGTGTGTGCTGGGGGTGGAGTGCAGGTCTGAGATCGTGTCTTCAGGAGTGCGTGGGCCCCGGCCCTCCACATCAGTGTTTCACAGCCACACTCATTTCCAGATGTCTGCAGTATTTATAGAAGGCTTACCACGTACCAGGTACTATGCCAAACCCTTGCCAGGACTCTCATTTAATTCTCCAAACAGTCCTGCAGTTTAGGCACTATTATTATCCCCATTTTATAGGTCAGGAGACTGAGGCAAAAAGAGGTTAGCTGACTTGCCCGAGGCTACACAGTAGTGCCATGTGGTGCGGGCACTCCATCATAGCTGTCTCCAGGGCTTGCACTGGCCGCCGAGGCGGTCACTGCCTTCACAGGGAGGTGTGTTCGGCAGGAACTTGGGTGGCTAGAATCACCCGGCCTCGGAGGTGCTCAGTCCATCCAGGGCTGGCAAGGGACAGAGAGGCAGAGGCCAGCCCACCCTTGTAGCTTGAGATGCTTTCTCTTGTCTTGCTTGTTTTCCTTGTTAATAATACTCTTATTCAGATATTACAGTCTGAGGGAGATCATGGAATCACCTCTCTGTCATTAAATAAAGGAACTTGAGAAGCGGTTCCAAATTCCACAGCCACCGCTGGCCAGGAGGCTGCAGGCATCACTGTCTTCTGTGGCTGGATCCAGGGCTGCCCATTACCCCGGTGTGGCCAGCGTGTGTTGGAGGTTTCCTGGATGGACCGGCAAGCTTCTGAGCCTCTCACCTGTGCTCTCTTTCCTTCTAGCTGTCGCTTTCCCAGCTGGTGGCCTCCCCACAGTCCCGGACTCGGCACTGCTTGGCCAGGCCCACTTCCCAGCCACCCCATGGCTCTCAGGCCTCCCCAGCCCAGGCAGTAAGTGCCGCCCACCTCGCCTCCCACCAAGGAATGGCTCCACAGCTCCTCACTTTGGGTTTCTGTGCTGTGCTGGTCCTCAGTTAGGTGGCAGAGACTGTGGCGGGTTCCCTGGGATGTGGGGGTGGGGTGGGGCATTGCTCACTCTGAGGCCTCAGACAGTTGCCATCATTCTGTCTCAGAGACCAAAGACAAATGTGGCCTGTGAGTTCTTCATGCCGCAGCACTCAATTCACATTGCGATCTGCCCACAAAAACAGTTAGCTGCCCCTGGATCTCTACATGAAAGTAAAAGGAGGTTGTGTCTGGATCTAGAAACAGCGGTGAGACAGGCCCCCAGCACCCCAGGACCCTCCTTGCTGTCAGCAGCTAAAGGAGGTGAGTGGAGCCTGCGGTCCAGGCTTCAGGGCGTGCTTAGCACTAAGATCGGCCTGCGTTGCCACCAGCCTTGGGGGATTCCTATGGAATTTGGTTTCAAAAGCTAGGGCCGGTTCACCTGCAGACTGCATCTCTTGTCTTAACTGGAGTTATGTTGAGGAAAAATTGTTTCTTTTAATTCCTTGTTTGAAAACACTCTTAGCACCGTGAGTCTCTGCTGCCTTATCTAAAGCATCTCTGGGGCTTGTGTGTTTGTGAAGAGCTTGCCTAGCGTTTTATTATTGGCACCTGAGACATGGCGTGAGGGTGACCTGGTGTCCCTCTGGACTGAAACAGAAAGCTTGGGAATGAAGCTTGAGAGAACACATTCCTGACTCCAGAAGCAGCTCCCCATTGAGAGGCCTGCCTCGGCCTTTGAGGTGGAATACGGGTGAATGATGGGAAGGTTCAGGGGCTGTGGGGACAAGAGACTGTCCAGACACACAAGCCAGGGGCTCGGTGCCACGGTTTATCTTGGAGTATTGAGGACGCTTCATCTTTCTGGTCTTCTATAAACATGTTTTGATATGAATTTACCATCTCAAGCGTCACGTATCTTCCACAGTCCTGACCTGCTCATAAAATTAGGATTCTTTCTCAACTCACAAATTGGGTTGCTACGTGAAATATAGGATGCCCAGTTACATTTGAATTTCAGGTAAACAACAAATAATTTTTTAGTATAAGTATGTCCCAAATATTACAGAGGGAACATACTTATGCTAAAATTATTTGTTGTTTACCTGAAATTCAAGTGTAATTGAGCCTCCTGTATTTTTATTTGCTAGAGCTGGCAACTCTCCAGAGGCAATTCATCGGTGAATCCCCTAGCTCAGAGCATCAGTAGTTGTTACAGGTTGTGGTCCTTGGTGGCCTCACTTGGAAGCCCTCATTTTGTTCAGCAGGAGTTCCCGTTGGAGGGTGGTATCTCCCACCTGGAAGCCGACCTGGGCCAGACCTCCCTGGTCCTCGAAACATCCATCGCTGAACAGTTACAGGAGCTGCCGTTCACGCCTTTGCATGCCCCTATTGTCGTGGGAACTGAGACCAGGAGGTGAGGTGTGGGTCTGGGCAGGATGAGGCACGTGCTATGCTGTCAGGCTGTTGGACCTGTGAACAACACCAGGCTTTCCACAGGGAGGTGCGTCAATGGGTCCCCCCTGCCCCGGGAGGCTCCCTGAGGTTTGCTGTGTCTCAGCTCTGCAGGGCAGCCCTCGAGGGCCTCCATGGTGCTCCTGCAGTCCTCTGGCTTTCCTGAGATTCTGGATGCCAATGAACAGCCAGCCGAGGCAGTCAACCCTTCAGACCCTGTGACGTTTAACCCTCAGAAGGAGGAATCGGATTGTCTACAAAGCAACGAGATAGTGCTACAGTTTCTCGCCTTTAGCAGGTAAATCCTGGAATAGTCTCTTACTCAACTGGCTTTCACATTTCCTGAGTTGAAGAGAAACTTTGCTGAGGTTCTGACCTGGCAGAACTGTCCATGTTCAGGTCTTAGTTGATGTGGGAGTGCGGTCTGTTTTTATTTGATCTTGGCTGGGACCCACCCATGGCATGCTAAAGGCCATGAAAGCTGCTTTACCCCATCTTCTGTGGTCCTTAGTTAGAATGTGGACAGTGTGTTGTCCAGGTCTTAGATCTTAGCGTAGCTCTGAAGGCAGTTTCTCCAGCCGGGAGTGACCTTACGCCCCAGAGTGCTGCTGTCTGGCTGGCTCGCTGAGAGCACAGCAAAGCGGTTCCATTGGTGACCATGGCAGCCTCTCTTTACTGTTGCCCTGGCGGCTAAGGTGCCCAGACTATCCCCCTATGCAAATGCACATCAGACCCCCCAGATACAGTGTCACGGACACTCAATTAACCTAGAGCTGTCGTTGGATTCAGAGTGGCCCAGGACTGCCGAGGAATGCCATGGCCAGAGACTGTGTATTTCACCTTCCAGTTCTACCGCTTCCCGCCCGCAGTGACGCCACGACTGCAGCTGGTCCAGCTGGAAGAGGCCGGGCAGCCCAGCTCTGGCGCCCTGACCCACATCCTTGTGCCTGTGAGCAGAGACGGCGCCTTTGATGCTGGTGAATACTCATGTGCATGTCGAAGGCGAGACACTCTGAGCTGAGTTGTGTGTGTGTGTACATTGTCAATGTTGTTATTTTAAAAAGTGGTACTATGAAAAGTTTAAAACATACACAGCATTAGAATTATCCAGTGGGAGACACTCTGCGCTGAGCTCTGTGTGTGTGTACATTGTCAATGTTGTTATTTTAAAAAGTGGTACTATGAAAAGTTTAAAACATACACAGCATTAGAATTGTCCAGTGGACCAGTGCAGCAAACACTCAGCCCCAAACTGGGAGTTAGATCTAGATTCGCGTTTTTGTTTTTGGCAAGAATTCTTTGTAGCGGGTGATGTGTGCACCACCTCCGCTGTGCCCTTGACTTCTGGTTACTTCTTTTTATATTACCGTCAGCAACCATATGCCCACTGCTTGTGTCATTTGTGCGGTGGTGACATTCCACTTCTAGAACACCTGCCTTGTCAGCTGGGATGCTTCCAAAACCAGAAATTTCCCGGGATCAACCTTTTGCTTCTGTTGAGGTGCAGTTTGTATGGGAAAGGCTGGATAATACTTGATTCTTCCCTTTATTTGCCAACTTTTGAAATAATTACATGATTCCCTGGCGTCCTTCAAGGGTGGGGACCAGTGGCTTTTTTTTTGGTCTGGTATCATTGTAATAGTTTAAGCTATATTGAATAGCTTTAAGCTACATTGAACAGAAACACACCTGACATGTTGTTATTTTTGTTGATGGTCAGTTTTCCCATCTTCATCAGTGACACAGCTCATAAGGGACCCAGCTGGGGTCTGAAACGCTGCTGCCTCTGACGGTAGAAAGTGGTGTGTGGACAAGTGATGTTAAAATTCTGACCTCAAATGGAAGTAGCTTGACATCGAGGAGGCTGTTAAATAGGCACCAAGAAAGTAATTCGCTAGGAAGAGAAGCAGTTCTGAATCTGCGAACTTGATGGACTTGTAAGGAGAAATGGCAAAACCCACAATCGTAGGGGATCTACACATACTTCTCAGTAGATTGATAGATCAAAAAGAAACGAATTGAGGATGTTATAAAACTCAGTTTAAAAAGGTTTAGAGAATATGCATTATTTTAATACATACTTTGAAACTTACAAAAACTGATCATCCTTCATATATATTTTTTAGCTCACCAAGCAGGCATCACCCTATACTGAGAGAATCAGTATCAAATCTGATTTTATAACTTTCTCTGGCCATAATGCCACAAGATCAGAAGTCAGTCACTCTCTCCCCTATAGCCACTCTGAACTGCTTTTTTTGTGTTTTGAATTTTAAAATATGCTTCTAATTATTCCATGGGTCAATGAAGAACTCAAGATATCAAAATAGAAATGCCTAATTATTTAAAACCAAATGACAAAATAATATCGAATATCAAAACTTAGGAGATGCAAGTTAAATTGTAATTACAGGGGAATTTACAGGTTTTTTTGAGATAGAGTTTTGCTTTTATTGCCCAAGCTAGAGTACAATGGCATGATCCTGGCTCACTGCAACTTCTGTCTCCCGGGTTCAAGCGATTCTCCTTTCTGAGCCTTTTGAGTAGCTGGGATTACAGGCATGTGCCACCACGCCCAGCTAATTTTGTATATTTTTAGTAGAAACAGGATTTCACCATGTTAGCCAGGCTGGTTGTGAACTCCTGATCTCAGGTGATCCACCTGCCTCAGCCTCCCAAAGTGCTGGGATTACAGGCATGAAGCACCATGTCCAGCTGGGAATTTACAGTTTTAAATGCCTATGTTGATGAAGAAGAAAGTACCCTTTAAGATACTGTTTTAATTGTTCAACTCAAGAAGTTTGGAGGAGAAAGAGCAAACCCAATAAAAGTAGAAAGAAAAAAATTTGATGAGTGTAAATGCTTAGAAGACAAAACAGCTAAACAGGTACACTAGGGCCACCAGGTACATAGCAGCAGGGGATGCTTCTTGTTTTTTGTCCAGTCAGTCGAGAGAGGCAGATGGCGGAGATGAAGATATCACTTTCTTAATCATGCATTTATTCCTGATAAAACAGCTGTGAGACATGTGAGGTCTGAGACCCAGCTGTGCCCACTGGTGCCAGCCCCTGACGTGGATGGCCTTTGATGCAGGTGGAGGTTGGCCAGACAGCAGCAGGCCTTGCACCTGGGGTGAGCCCTCACCTCTCTGCACGCCTGAAAGCACATCTTGGACTATTGCATTCTCTCCTGTGGGCAGATCTGAAAAGAAGAGAGTTGGGAGGAGTGAGCAGCCTACTTAGCCCCGTTAGTCTATTCCCCATCCCCAGTCAGTTGAGCTGCTCTCACCCGGAGAGGCACGGGGGCTGGGCAGAGAGACGCTGCAGGAGGCTCCTTTGCATGGAGGCTTGAAGCCAGGGAAGGACATTGGTTCTGTTATTTTTAAAAATTGATTATTTTTTTCGATCAGTTTTAGGTTTACGGTAAAATTGAGTAGCTGATACAGAGAGTTTGCATAGGACCTCCCCTCCTCCAAGTTTCCCCTATTATTAACATTTTACATTGCTGTGACACATTCTTTTTTGTTTGTTTGTTTTTTTGGTTTTTTTGGAGACAGGGTCTTACTCTGTTGCCAAGGCTGGAGTGCAGTGGCACAATCACAGCTCACTGCAACCTCAATCCTCCCACCTCAGCCCCCACATAACTGGGGCCACAGGCATGCACCCATAGTGCCCAACTAATTTTTTTTTTGTAGTTTTTGTAGAGATGGGTTTTTGCCATGTTGTCCAGGGTGGTCTTGAACCCCTAGGCTCAAGTGATCCTCCTAACTCAGCCTCCCAAAGTGCCGAGATAACAGGTGTCAGCCACCACGCCTGCTGATGTGACATATTTGTTACAACCGATGAAGCAGTAACAATACATTATTATGAATTAAACTCATGGTTTACCCTAAGGTTCATTCTGCATTATACAGTCTGTGATTTTTGACAAATATGTTACGTCATAGATCCACCATAACAGGATCATACAGAATAGTCTCATCACCCTTACACCTCCCCTGGGCTCCACCTATTCAGCCCTCCCCATCTCCCCTGGTAAGATACTTCCATGTTGCCTTCGCCAGAACGTCATACAGCCGGAATCATGTAGTATGTAGCTTTTCAAAACTGCAGCCTCCACCTCCCTGGTTCCAGCGATTCTCCTGCCTCAGCCTCCCGAGAAGCTGGGATTACAGGTGCACACCACCATACCCGGCTAATTTTTTTTTGCATTTTTAGTTGTGCTGTGTGTTTAAGGTTCCTCCATGGCTTTTTGTGTCTGGCTCACTCATTTCTTGGATTGCTGAATGTTACTTCATTGCATGTATGTGCCACAGACTATATATCCATTCACCTCTTGAAGGGCATCTTGGTAGTTTACAGTTTTTGACAATTTTGAATAAAGCTGTTAGAAACGTTTGTGTACAGGGTTTTGTGTGTACATAAATTTTCAACCCATAGGTAAATACCAAGGGGTGTTGCTGTATCATGTGGTAAGGGTATGTTTAGTTTTGTTAGAAATCACCATACTGTCTTCCAAAGTGGCCGGGCCATTTTGCATTTCCCCCAGCAGTGAATGAGGGCTCTGGTTGCTCTGCATCCTCGCCAGCATTTGGCGTTGTCAGTGGTTTGGGTTTTAGCCGCTCCAGCAGGCGGTGCAGTGGTGTCTCGTTGTTGTAATTTGTGGTTCTCTAGCGACGTGTGATGTGGAGCATCTTCTCATGAGCTTGTTTGCCATCTGTGTATCTTCTTCCGTGAGATTTCTGCTCAGACCTGAACAGATGTCTTTAGATATTTGGATGCGAGTCCTTTATCAGATACGTATTTTGCAAATGTTTTCTCCCGATCTCCGGCTTGTCTTTCTATTCTCTTAGCAGTATGTTTGGCAGAGTGAAGTCTTTTATTTTAATGAAGTCCAGCTCATTAGCCATTTCTCTCATGGACTGTGCATGGGTTGTATTTGAAAAGCCATCCCTGAGGTCACCTGGATTTTGTTCTTTGTCATCTCCTAGGACTTGTATAGTTTTGTGGTTTACATTTAGGTCTGTGATCCATTTTGAGTTGATTTTTATAAAAGGTATAGATTTTGCAGAGTGAACACATCTGTGTAACGGCCTCCCAGCCCAAAAGGGGCTCTGGCACAGGTTGCAGAGGCCTTCCTCACCCCAGTCCTTCACCTCCCCCAAGGGAGCCACGCTTCTGAATTTGGCCACTGTAGACCAGTTGCCCCCTTTTGTGGACTTCGGTGGGATCATGTTTTATGTCCTGTTTTGAATCCCTCCTCTCTGCTGGGCCTCTTGTGTGTGAGACCACCCTGTTCCATCTGTAGCAGCAGTTTCTCAATTTTCTTGGCTGTAGAGAAACTCAATGTGTGGTGATTCTCTGATGCTTCCCCATTCAAATAGGCGTTGGAATGGGTTCTGGTTTTTGGCTCTTTCGCACAGTGCTGCTGTGAGGTGCTTTTGGCGCGCATTTGCTGTTGTGTCAGATATGCCTGAGAGTGAGTGGCTGAGTCGTGGAGCAGCACCTGTTGTTAGGTTTAGTGTATCTGCTAAGCAGGTGCCCCTACTGCTTGGCCAGCTTTCGCAGCCAGCAGCAGGAGACCCCAGGCAGCTCTATGTCCTTGCTGGTCACACGGTAGTCGCTGGTTTTCTTTGTTCCTTGAACTATTCTGGTGTAGAGGCACCTCGTGGTTTGAGCTTCCCTGATGATTCTGAGTGCCTTTCACAGGCCTACTGGCCTGAGGGATATTGTGCATGAGGTGCGGGTTCAGGTCTCTTGCCCATTTTCTAGTGTGGAGTGTGTGTGTGCATCTGTGTGCGTGTGTGTGCGCATGCGCATATGTGTGTTTGAATTGATAGGTGTTCTTTCTGTATCCTGTCACAAGAGTTAATAGGACATGCAAGATTTTAAAGCACGGGCCCCATACCCACCACATTTAGACAACAAGCCAATTCCCAGCCCCTGAATAGTTGTCCTAAGGAAAATTATGTTCTCAG